TGGATGGAGAGTATGTATGGATTATCTCAAACTCAATAAGGCAACTCGAAAAGACCACTTCCCTCTACTGTTCATTGATCAGATGCTTGATAGATTGGCTGAGCATACATTCTACTGCCTCTTGGATGGTTATTCTNTAGTGTCCAATGAGAACAACGAATTAATTTCAACACGGACAGTGACTGGATGGAGAGTATGTATGGATTATCTCAAACTCAATAAGGCAACTCGAAAAGACCACTTCCCTCTACTGTTCATTGATCAAATGCTTGATAGATTAGCTGAGCATACATTCTACTGCCTCTTGGATTGTTATTCCGGTTATAATTAGATAGCCATAGCACCCGAGGATCAAGAGAAGACTACGTTTACTTGCCCTTATGGAACCTCTGCATTCCAAAGGATGCCTTTTGGATTATGCAACGCACCTGCAACGTTTCAACGATGCATGATGANTTAGATAGCCATAGCACCCGAGGATCAAGAGAAGACTACGTTTACTTGCCCTTATGGAACCTCTGCATTCCAAAGGATGCCTTTTGGATTATGCAACGCACCTGCAACATTTCAACGATGCATGATGGAAATATTCTCTGACATGGTCGAGCAAAATCTTGAGGTATTTATGGATGATTTTTCTATATTTGGAGATAGCTTTGACCTATGTTTTGAGAACCTTACTCTTGTGCTGAAAAGATGTGTGGAAACAAACTTGGTATTGAATTGGGAAAAGTGTCATTTCATGGTTAAAGAAGGCATTATTCTAGGGCATAAAGTTTTTTGCTATTGGGNCGGTTATAATTAGATAGCCATAGCACCCGAGGATCAAGAGAAGACTACGTTTACTTGCCCTTATGGAACCTCTGCATTCCAAAGGATGCCTTTTGGATTATGCAACGCACCTGCAACATTTCAACGATGCATGATGGAAATATTCTCTGACATGGTCGAGCAAAATCTTGAGGTATTTATGGATGATTTTTCTATATTTGGAGATAGCTTTGACCTATGTTTTGAGAACCTTACTCTTGTGCTGAAAAGATGTGTGGAAACAAACTTGGTATTGAATTGAGAAAAGTGTCATTTCATGGTTAAAGAAGGCATTATTCTAGGGCATAAAGTTTTTTGCTATTGGGATAGAGGTGGATAGGGTAAAAATAGAGACTATTGAAAATCTACCACCACCGACATCAGTCAATGGAATTTGAAGTTTTTTGGGACATGCCAGATTTTATAGGCGATTTATAAAGGACTTCTCCAAGATCACGAAGCCTCTATGCAACCTTTTAGAAAAAGACATACCATTCAATTTTGATAAGGCATGCATAGAGGCCTTCAAGGTGTTGAAAAAGAAGCTCACTACTGCCCTCGTGATAGTGGCACCAAATTGAGATTTGCTGTTTGAGCTAATGTGCGATGCTAGCGACTTTGCAGTTGGCACAGTTTTAGGTCAACAGAAAGAATAAATGTTTCATGCTATCTATTATGCTAGCAAGACGTTATCAGATGCATAACTCAACTACACAACCACTGGGAAAGAATTATTAGTAGTTGTTTTTGCTTTTGACAAATTCCAATCCTATCTCATTGGTACCAAGGTGATAGTGTTCACAAATCATTCTGCCATTAATTATTTGATCTCGAGNTGTTGAAAAAGAAGCTCACTACTGCCCTCGTGATAGTGGCACCAAATTGAGATTTGCCGTTTGAGCTAATGTGCGATGCTAGCGACTTTGCAGTTGGCAAGACGTTATCAGATGCATAACTCAACTACACAACCACTGGGAAAGAATTATTAGCAGTTGTTTTTGCTTTTGACAAATTCCAATCCTATCTCATTGGTACCAAGGTGATAGTGTTCACAGATCATTCTGCCATTAATTATTTGATCTCAAAAAAGGACGCCAAGCCATGATTGATTTGATGGGTTCTTTTGCTTTAAGAGTTTGATCTAGAGATTAGGGACAGAAAACCAAGTGGCAGATCATCTGTCTAGACTTGAGAAAATTGGATAGAAAAAGGGTAACAATGTAATGATCAATGAATCATTTCCGGATGAGCAACTATTCCACGTTGCAGAGGGAGCACCATGGTATGCAGATTATGTNTTGCTTCAAGAGTTTGATCTAAAGATTAGGGACAGAAAGAGGACAGAAAACCAAGTAGCAGATCATCTCTCTAGACTTGAGAACATGGGACAGAAAAAGGCTGACANCTCTCTAGACTTGAGAACATGGGACAGAAAAAGGCTGACAATGTAATGATCAATGAATCATTTTCGGATGAGCAACTATTCCACGTTGCAGAGGGAGCACCATGGTATGCAGATTATGTGAACTATATAGTGAGTCATGTGCTTCCCCTTGAAATGAGCACCCAACAAAGGAAGAAGTTCTTGCACGAGGTGAAGCATTACATCTGGGATGAACCATTCCTATTTAAAAAATATGCAAATCAGATGCTACGAAGATGTGTACCCTGGGAAGAAATCGAAGGAATATTACAGCATTGCCATTCATCATGTTATGGAGGACATTATGGGGGAGAGAGAACCACAGCAAAAGTCCTTCAATCAGGTTTTTATTGGCCAACCCTCTTCAAGGATGCCCATTTTTTTGCATCAAAATGCGACAGATTTCAACGCACTGGAAATATCTCCAAGCGACATGGGATACCTTTAAACAATATCTTAGATGTTGAGATCTTTGACGTTTGGGGTATAGATTTCATGGGCCTGTTTCCATCGTCGTACAATAACCTTTACATAATAGTTGCGGTGAATTACGTCTCTAAGTGGGTTGAAGCAGCTGTTTTTCCTACCAATGATGCAAAGGTGGTGTTAAATTTCCTCCGAAAAAACATCTTCACGAGGTTTGGTACAACGCGAGCGATCATTAGCGATGAAGGTACACATTTTGTAATAAATATTTTGCAGCTCTTCTCGCTAAATATGGGGTCACCCATAATATTGCCACAACTTATCAACCCCAGACTAGTGGCCAAGCCGAAGTTTCGAATAGAGAAGTGAAGCAGATTTTGGAGAAAAGCGTTAATCCCAACCGAAAAGATTGGTCGAAGAAATTATTTTATGTTCATTTTTATTTTTTATTTTTTTTCTTGATGTTATTTTATAGGGATGATTATTTGGAAGGAATCATGATCATTTGGGAGGAAACAAGGTCAAATTGGAGCCTAAGTGATGAATTTTTGAAGAGGAAGTTAAAGGGCATTGTAATGGAGTAATTATAGCGTAAATAATGGATTTTAGGGCCGTGCAACTAAGTGTGGATGAGTGGTGAAGATATGGACACATTACATGAGGATTTGGAGGCTTAAAAATGAAAGAAATCAAGGAGGTATTGATGTTTGGTAACATAGGCATCAACACCCACACTATTTTGTAGCATTACCTTGGTTATCCGCCTTTGTAACCATTATCCACTTCGAATCTAACAAAGTGCAAAACATGAACGTTGTAGATCTGGATGTCTTCTATCTTGTTGCAAAAGGTCAACTCAATCTGATGGTTGTATCAAAAGTTATGACGATTCTATGAAAACTGGTCCAAAGGAGGCAACGTACCAGGGGGCGCGCCCCTGCGCCAAAACTAGCGCCCCAGCGCCAACCTACTATCCAAAATGGCATCCCCGCGCTTGTGTTGGTCCGTGACGCGAATTTTACCTTATTTTTGACCTGGAATTGGACTCTAAAGCTACATATATGCTAGGGTTTGTGTGGGGATAAAATATTCTGACTTTTGGGGGCTGAAAACATCTGGTAAAACCAAGGAATTGGAAGAAAATTGAAGACAAGAATCTAATGAATCGACACGAAGAAGATTGGTCTTGAAAGCTAGAGAAGGATTGAAGATTGAACCTAAGTTTTCATTCTTTTCTCTTACTTTTATTTTCTTGATTTTCTAAGATGTTGTTTAATTTTAGAATGATGTTTTCCAATTACTTTATGAACTAATTTTCTATTAAGATTGCAGNTTTTCTAAGATGTTGTTTAATTTTAGAATGATGTTTTTCAATTACTTTATGAACTAATTTTCTATTAAGATTGCAATGGAACCTTATGTCTAGTTAAATTAATCTACTCTTGTTTCTAGTGCTTATTGATCTTATATGAGTTGTTTGTCATATTTTGTNACCTTATGTCTAGTTAAATTAATCTACTCTCGTTTCTAGTTCTTATTGATCTTATATGAGTTGTTTGTCATATTTTGTGATTAATATATGATTGTGTAGCCAACAATTAGTTTGATAACCTATATGAAATTGGGAGATGAATTCTAGGTTTAAATCTGAATATGATGACATGCGTCTGGTTAATTATTCTTAGGATTGAATTGCTGGGTTTGTGTATAGGATAGGAATATACCCATATGTCGTGTGTAACTTTTATGAGAGTTTGAACTTAGTGAATCTATTCCAACTTATTTTGCATTGGAATATAGTAACTTAATTGGGATAGATTATTTTATTTAACTATCGGAAGAGGTTTAATAAATAACTATGAGTTCTCAGTTAACAACTTATTTTGATCAATTGACTAGAAAGAGAGTAGAAAGATTTATACGAAGGATTAGANTAACAACTTATTTTGATCAATTGACTTGAAAGAAAGTAGAAAGACTTATACGAAGCATTAGAGGAAGTAGTAATCTTAACTTCTTTCCTCTGGTAAATTCAACCCTTGATTGTTAAGTTTAGATTTAGTTTTAATTTAGTCATTCTATAGTTCAAGTACAATTGTTTAAATAAAATTGAATTGATACAATGTTAGTACTTGGATATTATTAGCAATAATTCTCCGTGGGAACGATACTCTACTTTTCAGTTTATTACTTGTTGATCGTGTATACTTGCACATAAATTGTCAATACCAAATTCGGACAACAATGCCCAAGGAAAGGAAGAGAGCCATGAAGGCTAAGGTGAATGAGAGCGAAAATGAGTTTACTTCAAGTGAGAATTTCTCTTCTCAAAGTGATGAAGAGAATTTCACGACCTTCGTTGTTTCCCATTCCTCCTCTTGAGAGAAACTTCAAATGTTGAAGTTGAGTCAAGTCTTACCAAGAAGGTAAATGACTTGGATGTTGAAGTCTCTACTAGTAAGGATAAGACTGAGAGTGTTGAGGACCTCCAAGATTCATACAATAAATTATATGGGGAGTGTAAACAAAAGAGGAGTTTTCATTCATTGAACATAAGGCTCAAATCAAGTGAAGATGATAATAAAATACTTCATATGGACCTGGTGAAGTCTAAGACTCATATTTGTGGGCTTGAGAAGGAGACAAAGTTCCTCCAAGAGAAAGTGAGCTTTCTTGAGAGTGAGCACAAAGGGCATTTAGAGTATAAGAAGTGTCTTGCGTTTAAGTTTGTCAAACTAGATAGAGATCTTCATGAATCGTAAAAAATTTCAAAGAGACTTTCCCTAAGTATAGAAAAACTTGATGAATGTTGTCTACAGGGAAAAGTGTGGGTGACAAAAGAGGCCTAGGCTATTCAAATGAAAACACCACCCCCACTTCTTCTAAGACCGTGTTTGTGAAGGGTAATCCCAACCCATCACCCCCAAAAGAAAGCACAAGTCCTCAAAAGGCTAAGAATGTTAAGGTTAAGCATTTAAAGAAAAAGGTTAAAAAAGAAATTCAAAGCAAATCATTGCGTGTTTTACTTATAGTGAACATGGTCACTATAGTGCACATTGCATTATAGTAGTGAAGTTTTCAATAAAACGTTCATGCATCTAGCCAACAAATACAAAGCCTTGAACAATCAAATTTTAAATTTTTCTAAGATTTTGGAAGTTTTATGTGAGTCCAAACGTACACATGCATCATCATCTAAAGGCTCACATGANTCATGCATCTAGCCAACAAATACAAAGCCTTGAACAATCAAATTTTAAATTTTTCTAGGATTTTGGAAGTTTTATGTGAGTCCAAACGTACACATGCATCATCATCTAAAGGCTCACATGATAGAGTGCATAAGACTTCTTCTACTCCCAAGATCAAGATTAATCAACACACATCCAGAGAGAATATAGTTAGTCCTCCATTGATTCCCCAACCAAACCCAAATTTTTGGAAATTAAAACAAGTTTTGGTGACTAGGGAGGAATTTGAGAAACTCACCATCACAACAAAGTTGGTTGCCCAACAAAGTCATAGCACCTAAGAAGTAGGTGAGGAGAGATAGTATGAACCTAGGTATATCATTCATGCATTGAATCAACACCCTAGGATTNGAATATAGTTAGTCCTCCATTGATTCCCCAACCAAACCCAAATTTTTGGAAATTAAAACAAGTTTTGGTGACTAGGGAGGAATTTGAGAAACTCACCATCACAACAAAGTTGGTTGCCCAACAAAGTCATAGCACCTAAGAAGTAGATGAGGAGAGATAGTATGAACCTAGGTATATCATTCATGCATTGAATCAAACACCCTAGGATCNAACTCACCATCACAACAAAGTTGGTTGCCCAACAAAGTCATAGCACCTAAGAAGTAGGTGAGGAGAGATAGTATGAACCTAGGTATATCATTCATGCATTGAATCAACACCCTAGGATTATACATTGTATATATATTTTTTGTTTATTTTTAATTTAATTTCTGATAAGAAAAACCAAAAACATTAGAAATTTTTTTAAAAAAACCCAGAAGTGGTTTTGATGTCAAGTTTGACATTATTTTAGGATTTATGATAATTACTTTATTTTTTAGTTATTTATTGCATACTTGTGCATATTTTTGTTTGTGTATCTTATTTGAAAAATTCAAAAATATTTGAAAAGAAAAGCCAAAAAGATTTTCTTTTGTTTCCTTTTCTTTGTTATTGACATGTTAATTCACACGTTCGTTTATTTATAATGATTACATCTTTATATCAAAATTGAAATGTGTATTTCTATGAGTCATTTTAGGGAATAGATAATTTAGTGACATAAATCTTAGTGTATAAATGGCTAAAATTAATTGCTCTTGAATTGTTGAGAGTACTTATGCTTAAATTCAATGCTCATTTGTAAATCTAAAAGGGGTCAAGATAAACACGTTTAGAATCTTTTTTTTATCAAATACATAGTTCACAATCATACTATTGAAGCCATAAGAGGATAAGGGATAACAGTTAGGGGGAGTTGTCTAAAAGAAAAGTGATTAGGACACTCACTAACTGGTCATATATTTAAATACACGATGCATTAGACTTTCATGTAAAGCCTATGAATGATTTGAACTAAACAGGATCCTAATAAGATCAAAGTTTGATTTCACACAAGTCACACTTGAATTTGTCAAAGTTGAACAAAATTCAACATGTGTAAGTGAAATTGAACTAAGTGAGGGGACATTAATCTAGGATACATGAATTGATTTCTATAGCCAGAATATGTCTTAGAGTAATGTTATGAGATCATGAAATTTGGATGAAACCATTATAATGTAAACAATGTGATTTTCATGATTAATGACATTTGCATTTTAATATTTAAATTCAAAATTGCCTTACATTTAGATCCAATTTCATCCATGTATGTGCACTTAGTTATATTTAAGGTATATATACATCCATCCATGCATTTGAGGCTTGAAGGATGGCTTGGAGGAGTCAATGAAAGGTTGGGATGATCTGTGGAAGTGTCGAAGCTGAGTTGTCAAAATTAACAAAAAAATTTCGGGACTGCTCGAGCAACCCTCACACCTCTTGTGCGGCTTTGGTTACGATCAATCGGTGCCCTAGTGTTATAAATCTGATTTTGACAGCCCCTTTTCATTCCAAACACTCCTATACCAATCCCAAGCCTCCCAAATAGCTAGATCCCTCTATTCCTAAGCGATCCCAAACACCTTCTAGTGAAATTGTAGTTTTGATTCTCATTCTTGAACCTAGAATTATGTCTGATCATGCCTCCATCACAAGAGAAAAGATATAGGGTTGAGGAACCATAGAAAGAGATCGAGATTGAGTTTGATGAGACTACTCGATTTTAGACTCCAGAATTTGAAGAGTGATATTGGTGAGAGTTTTCTCATATGCCTGTGATGGTTGAGTGAGAAGTAGACTTCACTGAGGTAATTTCACCAATCGAGGGTTGACACACTTGTTCGATGCCCCGAAACCTTCTAATGACAGCATAGTGAGAGAATTTTGCACTCACATACATAACCCAGATCTCTAGAAAGACCACTTTATCACATATATTCGTGGAATTGACTGCATGTTTTCTACAATTCTCATTGCTACCACTCTTGGCCTTCCTAAGGCAAAAAAAATGCCCTTAGTGAAGTACTGATTAATTAGTTGCCTCCTCCCCGTTTTGTGGCTACTGGGTTATATGGTGTATAACATCTTGAACACTGGGTCACATTGAATTTCTTTTAAAAATACTTAAACCCAGACTATAGGATGTTGAACCTAATAGCTAATTACAACTTAAAATCGAAATATGAGAGGCCTAAGTCTGTATTCGAGATATGCATTTTCTGAGGAATAGGGCTAGATCAAGATTTAATTATGGTGAAATTTGTGTTTATTCGGTGAGCTTTTTTATAGGAGACAGTATCAGATAGTATTCCTTTTCGATCACTGATTACTTGCAT